TGGTTTTCAAAATGTGGATCTCGCCTCAGCGCCGCGCATACTCGTGGTAAAACATTGTAAGAGTTTCACAGGTTGAGGGCAAGTCGTTTTCAAAATGTGCTCTCGCCTCAATGTCGCGCACATTGCAACAGTTCCACGGATTGAGGGCGGGAGGTTTTCAAAATGTGGCTCCCGCCTTAGCACCGCGCACATTCGCTGTAACAGATGCAAGAACAGATGTGGGTCTCGCCTTAGCGACGCGCACATTCGTTCAACAAATATGCAAGAACTTTACGGAACGAGGGCGGGTGGTTTTCAAAATATGGCTTTCGCCTGAGCGCCGCGCGGACTCGCTATTAAAATGTGCAAGAATTCCACGGGTTCCCATGATCAACGTACCAGAAATGGTGTTCTGGAGAGATTCTGGGTTTTGAGGGTGCAACAGTTACGATGATTCGCGGTGTTGAAGTCCCAGCTCTGGCACGAAACAAGATCGTCAAGACGCAGCAGTCAGGCTCATCATTGGCGTTGGAGTCCCCAGAACAATGCTTTGGCATGCTTCAGGGTCTAACACGGTTGTCTTTCAACGAGGCAGTTCCCTCAGGAGAAATGAACCACAGCGGGGGGCCTATGAAGAGGGAGCTTGGAGGAAGGGTTCATTCCAACATCGTTGATGACTCTTGGGTTTACACTGGTCCTTCTCCTCCTCTTCCTCCTCCTCCTCATCATCCGTCTCCCTTCGTCCCTTCCATCCTCCTTTTCCTCCATCCTCCCTGGTGTTCTCTCCCGCCCGGTCCTGCTGTTCCCTGGGCAGATGGCTGCTGAAGTGCGACGCAAACTTGGCAGGACGCGAGCGGACGAGATGACACCACAGCGAAGGCAGCCCTGAAGGGAGCTAGGAGGAGAGCGAAAACGCCAAATACCCTTACGACCGGTTTCTCTCATGACCAAATTGCTTCATGGCGACTCCTCCTCATCCCTCGTTCGTCCTCCTTGCCCCCCCTCCCATTTTCCTCCTGCTCCTGCTCCTCCTGCTCCTCCTGCTCCTCCTCCTCCTCCTCCTCCTCCTCCTCCTCCTGCTCGTCTTCCTCCCCCTTCCGGCAGATCAGGCGCCGTGGCCTGGCGGGACGTGCCCGCCCCGCGCGGTCCAGCCCCCAACCGCCGAGCGCCCGCGCATCGGACGGACCGGTGCGACGAGGGGAGCAGAGCGGGAGCGCTCCCGCTCCCCAGCCTGGCACAGGCGCCTCCGGAGGGTGCGAGCATCAGCGCCCTACACTCTGTGGCTCCAGCGCGCGTGCCCAGGGAGGAGGAGGAAAGGAGGAGGAGAAGGAGAAGGAGGAGAGGAAGGAGGGGGAGGAGGAGGAGGAGGAGGAGGAGGAGGAGGAGGAGGAGGAGGAGGAGGAGGAGTCGGGGCATTACGGCGAACACCAGGAAATGTCGGTGAACAAGGTCTACGCCACAGCCCTGTGAATGCTGCGGGTGGGGCAGGAGCGAAGCGTGGTGGAGCTGGCCTGAGCGCTGCCAAGTCTCCGATTGCACCAGCTGCTCCTCCTACTCGCCGTCGGGATCGCTCTCAGTGGGACCAAGGAACGGCGACACCAACACCAGCAGGGCGAGGAGGTGCGAGGAGGCGAGGGGAGTCTCCCTGGTGGTGTGGTCCACCCCTCTCGCTCGAGACATCCCCAGCATCCAGCTCGGGGAGGCATCGTGGGCCTCCTCGCTGGAGGTGGGCCCCCTGGTGGTGTTGGTATCGCTTCTGCTCCCTCCGATCTCAGGATCGTGAGCGTTGGCCGTCTCAATCAGAAGCTCCATGGAGATCTCGGCGTCAGTCGAGCGGTTCAGGACGGGAGCGAGGGTTGAGTACGAGTCCACATCCGACCCCGCCGCCCCCGCGGAGTGCAGCTCGTCGAGCTGACCGAGGAGGAGGAGGAGGAGGAGGAGGAGGAGGAGGAGGAGGAGGAGGAGGAGGAGGAGAGGGAGCGAGGGAGGGAGGGGGGAGGCGAGGGTATGAGGCGGGATGGGTAGGAGGAGGGATGGATACGAGGAGGGAAGGGTACGAGGTGAAGGGGGAGGGGGAACGGAGGAAAGGACAGGGAGCAGCTCGCGGACCTCAGGACAAGGAAGTCGCGACCCCCGTCCCTGTCGAAGCGGCAGCGCAGATCCATGAGAAGGCGGGACCAGCACTGGCCAGAGTCCTCAAGGATGCCGAAGTCCTGGAGACCAAGCTGGAATCGGCCAAAGAATGAGGGGCGTAGTGCTCGGATGAGTCGGACACCGCATCGGAGTCCTACAAGAATGCAGCCAGGACGCTGGCGAGCCAGGCGGGAGCAGCCGCTGGCGCAGGCCAACACCAGGAAACTGGCCCCACCAAACTGTCCACTCAGGCTATCCTCCTAGGCAGAGTTCGAGCCCAGAGTTTGATTCGCTCGAGAGTCAGTGGGATGGGCACTACATTCCCAGGAGCAAAGTTCTTCTGCGGCATCTTATGGAAGCCTCCCATACCATATTGCTGGCTCTTGCGGATCGACGCTCATCGACGCTAATCGACGCTTAGCCGACGCTTGTCGACGCTAATCGACGCTAAAGAGGCACTGTCCCATCGACTACCATACGCTGATCGATGCTGATGCGTTCTGAAGGCCGAATTACGAGGGTACACAAGGCTCCCATGATCTGCTACCAAACAGTTCAGGTGGTGTGGGAGCGTCGCGCTCTCCATAGCAAAGCCATCGAGACCCAAGAAACCCAGGGCTCCCGGGAGGCAAGCAGGGTGCTTCTTGGCATGAGCCTCCACTGCACGTGGGCCCATATCAGACCTCGCCTTCGTGAGCGGTGCCACAGAAGCGGCAGCCGCCATTGCCGTGGGTCGGGACCCCCCGGGGGCCCCCGACTCCGATAGGGGGGGGCCGCAGCTCCGCTGGGCCTCCAGAGAGGAGGCCGCCGGAGGCTGGTCCGCCCAGGCCGCGCGGGCGCGCGGCCGCCAAAGCAGCGGCAGCGTCGGCAGCACAGCAGCAGGCCGGGCGCGTCACCTTGGAGCCCCTGCCTCGAGCCCCTGCCCCGAGCCAGAAGATGCCAGAATCGAATCGATTGGTCGGATCGGCGATCGGCAAGAATCGGATCGGCGGAAATCGGCGGCCGAGTCGGAAAAGGTGGGATCGGCGGAGATCGGTAGGCTTGCATGGGCCCAGTGCGAAACGGAACCCAAATCGGAATTCCAAATTGAATCGAATCGGAATCGGAATCCATCGAAATCAAACCGAATCGGATCGGGTGTATCAACGTGAGCCCCTGCCCCGAGACCCCTGATTTGCCTAGAGTCGATCCCCCTGTTTCCCCTGCTGCGTGGTCGGTGAGGTCGCCCCCCTTAACAGTTCAAGTTTGTGCCTCCTCCTCCTCCTCCTCCTCCTCCTCCTCTTCCCTCATCCCTCCTCCGAGAAAGACAAAGAACTTCATAAACGTGATAGACATAATTGTTTGACGGTCCGCGCTGATTTCTTTGACTTGAGAGCTCGACACCCTTCCTGGCGCGCGGAACGCGCCAGCGTCAGCGCCGGAGGCGCCGTGAGGGGGCCCAGCGCAGATCCAAAAAATCCTCGCGGAATGCCAAAAGTGAACAGGCCCATGCCTTCCAAGGGTTGCGCATGTTTTGCCATACTATCTACATGCGTGTTCCCCATCCACTTCCCACAATGTCCATGTTGTCCTGTGGATCGGCGAATATTTATGTCTGTATGCATTCCATTGCTGAAAAAACTATGTTTGTACAACTTGTGCTCTTCGGTCATCCCATATCTCCCCTCGCCCCTCGCTCCTCCCTCCTCACTTCTCCTCCTCCTCCCTCCTCCTCCTCCTCCTCCTCCTCCTCCTCCTCCTCCTCCTCCTCCTCCTCCCAGAACTGGCAAAGAGGACGCAACGGGGCGCCTGCGAGCCCGACGCCGCGCCCGCGACCGCCCTCTGCCGGGCCGCCGGGTCGATCAGCTGCGGAGCAGGCCCAGGCGCCGGCCGCTGCGCGGCCCCGGAGGCGCCTTGGCGAGGGATGGCCTTCGTCGTCGTCGTCGTCGCCGCCGTCGTCATCGTCGTCAGCGCCGTCGTCGCCGCCGCCGACGGCGCCGCCGCCGTCGTGGTCGTGAACGTCGCCGACGTCGCCGTTCGAGCCCGAGGCCCCAGACAAAGCGCGCGCTTGCGGCCCGCCCTCTGGGGCCGCCGGGTCGAGCAGCCAAGCGGCCCCCTGTAAGGGTCGAGCGATCTGGCTCCCAACAACGCTTGACTCGCACAGGGACGAGGAGACGGCAGGAGGAAGGAGGAGGATACAGGGAGGGGGGAGGAACGAGGAGGATGCGAGGGGAATCACCGCCTGGGCCTCCTGGACCCTAGCGCCTTCGATGGACTACGAGGAAGATGGATGGATGGACAGCACCTCAGAAGGGTCGGGAGGTGAGGGGAGCAAGACGAACGGTGATCGACGTGAATAAAAACGCCCCCGAAGAACGCTCCTCTTCTTTGGCCTCAATTCTGGCGACCAGGGCCGCCATACGCTGCTCGTGGGCAGGGGCTGCGGGAGCATCCGAGACAACCCACGGAACCGAGGTAATGGCAACCTTGGACTTCACTGAACCCAATTCCACGTCGAGCCGTTGCACCCAGAACGGCTCCAAAACGCATTTTTGATCCGGACCGTCGACGAAACCTGCTCCGGACGCCCAGTCCCTGAACCTCAGCGTCGCGAAGACCTCGGCGAGCTTCACGGCTCTCAATTGACTCCGGCCCCAAACTGTTTGAGCCTGCTGCTCACGGTAAGAGCCCCCGCTGGCCACCGAAGCGCGCGGAGCTGCAAGAGCCGCACCCGGAAGAGCAACGAGAAACTAATCATGAGGGGGAAGGATGGTAGGAACATGAGAATCAAGGGGACGTAAGACCTGGGTACAGGGGACTCGGAAATCCCCGACGAGGTCGTCAAAAAAATGACGAGGCCGAGCCTGCATTTTGACGAGGCCTCCCGCTGCAGACATCCCACGAAACTCCTCCTCGTCAAAATCCGAGTCGCGGTCGTCACAAAACGATGGCGAACCCGAGTCCTGGCAAACCCGGGTCTTACGCTCCCCCGATATGAGGGGGAAGGATGGTAGGAACATGAGAAGGAACATAGCCGGACGAGATGGAACATGAAGAGCAGGACGAGGAGCATGAGCTGAGCAGGAAAAGCAGGAGGAGCAGGAGCATCGGGGGAATGCGGATGCCGGGAAAGGAAGGGGCAGCAACGGTGAGGAACGAATCGGACTCGGAAACTTGCCCGGCGCCAGGGCCTGAGCGTCAACCTGTACAACGGGAGGACACGGCACGTATCCTGAGCAAATGTCAGCGCTGCAGCGTGACCACAAGAATTCTCCGAGAACTCTGAAGGCCCGACAACGTCGAAGGCCCGAGAACGCTGAACGAATGTCAACGCTGAAGGCCCGAAAACGCTCCGGACGACAGACACGTGCTCTACTCTGTGCGATGGCGTTCGGCCTCTTGCGCCAGACAACGCGCAGAGGAGGAGGCGGCGACCCCCCAGCAAATCGTCGCCGGGTGGCAGCGGAGAAACGGCGCTGAGCCAACCCACCTCGCCCTGGTAGAGCAAAAACCGGTGGGTGGAGGGGTGGTGGAGAGACGATGCCACGGGCGGGATGCCGCGGTCAAGCTTGAAAACTTCCTTCCCCAGGAACGCTGGCCCAGGGAGGCCATGATAGAAACACAAAAAACGGCATAAACGTAATTTGTTGGCGCTCCGCGCGGATTCCTTGGATCTGCGTTATCCCCTTCCCTGGCGCGCTCCGCCCGCCAGGGGCGGCGACAGACACGCCGCCCGGGGGGGCCAGCACGGATCCAAGAAATCCGCGCGGAGCGCCAAACATGTATGTTTATATCGACTTTGGTCATTCCAAAGGTACCGTGGTCAAACTTGGAGCCTCCCTCTTCCAGGAGGCCTGGGAGGCTATGAGAAGACATCGGTTGATGGCGCCCACCTTCCATTAAGGGAGCGGACTGTAGAAGTGAGTGTCTGGCGTGATTTGAAGTGGATGAGGTTGGATGGCCATGGGGGCGCTGGGGCATTGGCGCGGGGGCATGCGGAAATTGGGCGGCAACTGGGGCAGTTGGGACCCACATGGGGAAGTTCGCGCGAGCTTTGGATCGCGGAGAAGGGCAACGTCGACATGGGGAACGTCGGAGCGGCCCCGCCGTTAAGACCACGACGACTGTATGGGCAGTAGAGGGAGGGGTGCTATGGGACGGGGGGGGGGGCGTCGAGGAGGGGAGTCGAAAAGGACCGGGGGGGTGCACACGGACGGACAGGGGGAAGCGTGTCGGGGTGGAGGGGGAAAGAAGCAGCGAAAAGGAGAGGGGGGAGGAGGAGGAGGTGAAGTAAGGGATGGGGAAAGGAGTGCTGGTAGGGAGAGGGGCGGGGCGAAGGGAAGGGAAATAGAGTTAAGGGAAAGCGGGGGGGGTGAGAGCAAAGGTAAAAAGGGAAGATCCGATCATATCAGATTACCCGTGGAGCTCTAGCATCCGCATTGCTGCCTACTGCATTCGCCTCTGGGCGTCGCTTTGCGACAGTTGAAGTCCCACTCGCATCGAAGGCCCACAGAAGCGATTTTGTGGTCCAAGACGGGGGGGACTCACGTACCCCCCCCTCCTTTGATCGATTGCCTCCAGGATGGCCCCAAGGAGGGTTTCCAGGGCTCCCGAGAGGGCCCCAGAAATGCTCCAGGATGGCCCGAAGAGAACCCCAAGGCGCCCCAAAGGCCCGACGAGAACCCCAACACTCCCCCCAAAAACCCACAAGGGTTCGAACAGGCGATTTGACAACACCCTGATGGAGGCCGAAATCCAGCCCCCCCTCCCTTGACCGATGCTCCCCAAAATGGCCCCAATATGGCTAGTGTTCCCTACATCCTGAGTGGGGCCCTTGCTTTCCCAAAACATCCTTTCCTTCTCCCTCCCGCTTCCCACTTCCCGTGCCCTTCCCACCCCTCCAGGGAGGCCCCGCCTGAGCGAGGAACTTATCCCAAACCCATACTATTTACATGGTTTCCTGCCCCTCCCACCCCTCCAGGGAGGCCCCGTCTGAGAAAGGAGGGTATCGGAAACCGATACTATTTACATGGTTCCGTGCCCTTCCCACCCCTCCCGGGAAGTCCCGCCTGAGCGAGGAAGGTATCGGAAACCCATACGATTTACATGGTTTCGTGCTCTTTCCACCCCTCCAGGGAGGCCCCGCCTGAGCGAGGAGGGTATCGGAAACCAAAACTATTGACGTGGTTTCGTGCTCCCCCCACCCCTCCAGGGAGGCCCCGCCTGAGCGAGGAGGGTATCGGAAACCCATACTATTTACATGATTCCGTGCCCCTCCCACCCCTCCAGGGAGGCCCCGCCTGAGCGAGGAGGGTATTGGAAACCCATACTATTGAGAAGGTTTTGTGCCCCCCCCACCTCTCCAGGGAGGTATCGGAAACCCATACGATTTACATGGTTTCGTGCCCC